CACTGACAGGCTGCTTTTCTCATGAGAAAATGGTGAAAATGCCAGGCCCTAAAAAATATTCCAAATGGTTTCACTTTTCTTGCATTCATAAGGCAGCACATCTCTGCACTATCCTATTACATAACAGTGTCTTTTAATAGCATCCTCTTGTCCAGCCTCATGAGAAAGGAAACACATTCCTTTATAGGACAATGGAATGCCAGTGATTAGCTCACATCAAAACCAAAAGTTGATGATCAGTTGGTAAAAAGCACGTGGTTTTGCACTGCATATATACAAGAATACAGTAAATTAAAGAAAAGGCTTAATTTCTTGCAAATGTACTACCCCAGCCCTATTTAATGAATTAGTAATTCTAAATTCTCAGCTAAACTGCAATGCCATATTTCACTGTTCCAGGCCAGATAATCAATATTTTAGAGTATGCACAAGAGATGATGTAATATTACAATACAAACATCTCAAATATTAAGTAAGAGATATACATTTATTTTTGTATTACCTGTTTCCATTCCTTCATATGTTTTTCTATATGTTATTAGAATAGTATTAGACCTACATTCAAGCTTTTCTTACAAAAAATATATTCATTTATGGAATCTAGTTCTTTCAATGGCAACAAACTTTCATGTGAGAAATGAAAGATGTGTGACCTTAATACAGGTGGAGAGGCACAGAAAATTTGAGACAGAGAGGATGGCCTAAATCTGCCTAGCCCCTAATCAAGAATTGTCATTAAATTCTGTAAAACAATGGCTTTGGTAAACAGAGAAATAGAAGTTCCTTTTCTCATGTTCATTGCTCATACAGCAATAAGTTAAAGCATGATACACAAAACCGGAAAACATTCCCCAGTTTATAAAAACAATATAGGGAAACTTGACATCCCACGTGCTTTTGTGTACTGTCATTTTAGCCAGCATTAAAAATTAGTTCTCCCATAAAAGCACTCCACACCAGTTAAAAGTCACATCAGTGTTTCAGGTGAAGCTGCATCTCCATGCACAGCCCACCAACACCTCCTGAAAACGGGGAAAACTGGGCTATTCCAGCTCTTTCCAAGGCCCACTCTTCCTCTTTGCTCAGTTCCATTTATCCAGGGGCTGCCTGGCAATGCAGACAGGAGAAGGCAAGTGCAAATCCCAGGCACTGCCAACCCACCTCAAGCACAAGGGAACTCCTCCAAAAGAGCAGTACCTACAAACTGAAATAAATACCAGTGTATTTCAGCTACAAACTGAAATAAACCCGTGGGAAGCTGCTAAATCAGTGCTCTGAAGAGGCAGGTGCGTAAAATATTGATATAAATAGTCAGTAAATAGAAAGGTGAGTGCTAAACCACTAAATATTTAGAGAAACTCACCTGGGGAAGAGAAGGCTCCAGGGAGATCTTTAGCACCTTTCAGTGCCAAAAAGGGTCTAGAGGAAAACTGGAGAGGGACTTTCGACATGGGCATGTGATGGCAGGACAAGGGGTGAACCTTTAAACTGCCAGAGGGAAGGTTTCTATCAGACATCAGGAATAAATCCTCTACTCTGAGGTTGGAGGTGGATCTCTCCATCTCCTCCTGGATCTGTGCATCCCCCCTGGATCCCCAGGGGCTGGGGGTGGATCTCTGCATCCCCTGTGGGTCCCCGGGGGCTGCAGGGGCTCAGCTGCTTCACCCTGATCATCCCCAGGGTCTGCAGAGGAATCCCAGCTCTGCCCCTGGAGCACCTCCTGACCCTCCTTCCCCACTGCCCTTGGTGTCTCCAGGTTCTTTTCCTCTCGTGTTCTCACTGTCTCCTCTTCTTCTCCTCTGGCTGGAATTAACACTGGCCCCCAGCTTTGCTTTGATTTTTTCTTCACTCTGTTATCCCAGAGGTGTTCCCAGCACCTGTCCCTGTCCCAGCATCTGTCCCACAGCAGGGACTGGCTCTGCTGGGCACGGGGGAGGCTTCCAGCAGCTCCTCACAGGAGCCACCTCTGTGCCCCCCACTGCCCAAACCAGGCCATGTAAAACCAACATGAGCATATTTACCTGTAGGACCATGTAGTTGTTGAAAAGCAATATTATTTTAATAAATTTCTTTTTTCAAGGGTTAAATTTGGAACTGAATGCATGTGTCCTTGTTGTTTACAACGGACTGAAACCAGACCAGCCCTGCGCAGTAGCCCCAGTTCAGATGGTACCAGTGCCTTGTTTCCAGCCCAGGCCCTAGATACTGAACTATCTTACAAGAAACTGAGAGAAGTTCAGCTTCATTCCCCAGCACCTTGGTTCAGTAAAGATGAAATTTCCAAAAGCCTGGATTGACCTAACTCCAATCTCACACTAGACAGTATCTTCTATTAGGAACTGTAAAGCTGTGCCACAAACCTGTTGTAAAATACTCATTAAATTTTCCCAAACATACAGTTTTACTTCAAAAGCATTCATTTTCCCTAATGCATGAGGGGGAAAAAAAACTTACAATCATTATCTTTACAAACTTATAATCATTCTCTTTAAATAAGCAACCAAACTCTGAAAGGAAACCACTGTTTTCCTCCTGCATTTTCTGTGTAATCCCAGGCACAGTTATCAACACATTTCATTACACAGAAGATGAAGAGGATAAAAATACAGAGAAATTCAAATGAAGAGTTTTCAAATTTTCTGTTTTAGAAATTTGCTCCTCTCATGCCTGTGGAAGGTGAAAATAAAAGCTACGTAAAAAGAAAGAAGCTGTTCAGCATCCTCCCCCACAATATGGGAAAATGATATGTTTCTTCTGAGAGCAGTGTTTTAGCACAGTAGGATGTTCTTGTGTTGTGACAAGATAATGTGTGTGTAAAGCACTCCTGTAATTTAGCTGTCACACAGGCACAGCTACTCAGAGCATGTGTGCCGAGGGAGAATTAGCTTTGATCTGAAAAATGCATCAGATGGTTCCCATTCCTAACACCAAATCAATTCTGCTGGGTAAGAAATTAATCCGGCCATCTCACACACAGCCCCTGTCAGTGTTTGATGATGCTGGGACTGCACGGAGCTGTTTACATGGGGAAAAAAACTCATGTCAGTACAGAAAAAAACACTTTTTAAGGGTTTTTATCTGAGTACTTCCACTTTGGAGCATCCTAGATATTTAAGGGCCATCAGGGTAACAATCTACCCAGTAAATTTTTCTGTGAAGGAAAAAAAAATGGAGTACTTCATCTTGAATAGATACTAAAGCTGGGAACTGAGAAACACATTTTCTGCAGCTTTTGTAACTTCAATATTAGAGATACAGATGTGAAAAGAGATTTTTTTCATAATTGTGCCTGCCAACATTATAAAGACTGACTGCAACTCGCTGTAGTTTAAAGTGTTAAACAGCACAGCTGGTTTTAGGTTTTTTCACTAAAACAACTCTCCCAAAAACTATTTCACTTCAGCCTCTGAGGTTTTCAGCACATGCCTCTTCAGACAAACAGAAAACAAAAGTAATTCTAATTTCACCTCCTGCACATGCTCACTGGAATGCACAGAGCCTTTCCAAGAAGTCCCAGAGTTCTTTCTACACTGAGAATGCTTCAGCCTCTCAAGATTAGCTGCTGCCACAATTTACCTGTCACTTTTCCTTTGCCACATGGGGAAAAAAGGCTGAACACCAGATCAGAAAAAAATTATCAACTTAAGTAAGGCCTGACTCTCCAGCATTCCTTTCTGCCATACACATCTCAGCTGCCCTGAGTCTCACCTCCAGGCATGGACACATCTTTAATTCAGAACCAGAGACTGCCCACAGCCATTTAAAGCAGCATCAAAGGAGCCAGCACAACAAATGAAAATTGCACCCAAAATTGTCCCTCAGTAAGTACAAGTTCGGCTCTTCCAGTTTCTGACTGGTTTCTGTTTCTAAAGACTGCTCTGATGGAGTGAAAACATCTCTCTTAAGGAATTCAGTCTTTAACACCAGTGCTCCACTGCTGTAAATGGGTATCACTCACTTGCTTTCCTCAGTTAATGAAAATAAACAGGGAATTTGTGCACACAGATGGGTTATTTCAGTGTTCAGGGCAACTCAGGCAGCAGGGCAGACCAGGGGGAATTTGCAGTGTTTTTTAAACCTTGCAGCTGATAGAGCAGGAGTGTAGGAAAGAATGAGGGCCTTGGTGAGCAGCCCAAACCAAATAATTTCACAGGATTTTACATCTCAGTATCTCTGACTGTATACATGTATGTGTGGCCATGAGCTGTACTCCTGAACAAATTACACCCTGAGCACTAAAATCCCCATACTCACACTGCTTTCCAAGAATTATTCTTGAATGTGGAGTGAACACACATTAATTGGGCAACGACACACATTGTCTGTGTTTGTCCTTTCAGCCAGAGCAGGGAAGGCAGAGCAGTATTTCACAATCCAGCCCATGAGATTATTTTTTCAAGCCACAAGAATTAACAGCTCTGCCACCAATCCTTCTCTCAGAGGATCAGCTCTTTGCTGGTGTTCTCTAGGAAAATGCCATTTATTTTCTCCAGTGACACCATTTTCTTTTAACTACTTATCTGCTTTCCCTCAGGTACCTGTGTTCTTTCTTCCTCACTCTGCAGCAAGAACAACCTCTTTCCCTGCAGAAAAAAAAAAAAAAAAAACCCACCAAAAAAACCCCCATTCATATAAATATATAAATACAGTAAAATATAAAAAAAAATTCTGAACTGAAAAAAAAGGAACTTTAAAAAAAACTGTGTATGCACTAACAGGGGTACATAGAACTATGGTAGAAACAGCTTTTTCCTTTTTTTAAATTTTTGTCTCTAAACAGAAGAAAAAAAAAGGAAATTTCAAAAAACTGTGTATGCAGTTTTGGGCCAGTTAAAAATGCAGCATTTGTATCTCCAAAAGATTATTCTATATAAGCTGAAAAACAGAAAATGACAAAGTCAGAATCTGAATCAGAAATCAGAATCAGAATCTGAGTAGGCAGAAGAACCTCACCAGCTCTGTCTACATTAGACATCCAGAAAGAGAGTTGTTGTTTTTACCTTGTTGTACAAAGAGTTTAATGGCTTCTAGACACACAGCACTGCCCTGTAATCAAAAAGAAATAAGGTGTAATTAATTACACTTTAATTACCTTTGAAATGAATCTATCAGTTGCTCAATGGTACCATTTCCATCCCTAATATTCTGTGAGCTGGATAACTGAAGCAGGAATTGTAACCACAGCACTACTTGCTCTATGCACAGTGACCATCAGCTGCCTTTAATGGTTTGCACACCAAGAAAGGGCTGCAAGTATTCAAATGGCACACTACAATGAAGCTGGAAACAGGCATTCCCTGCTCCCTGGTGGAAAGGCCACTGCAGGAGCTAGAGAAAATCAACTTACAGGACAAGAGAACCTGGGCTAACTCACTAAGCATGGAGAACATTCAATAACCAGTGTTTATTTATTTGGTGAAGGTTTGATGTGACCAGCCACAAAAGGAACCAGTCATTATTTGCTCCAGAATGCAAAGTCTGTTCATTATTTTTTGTTATTTTTACGTAAAACAACACAAACACACACGCACACATGGATGGATCTTTTAGAGTCAGTAGAGAGTAAAGGATGGTGTTGAAATTCCCAAATGATAATTCTTATATTAGCAATGTTATCAATACATTCTACAGCACCTGCTCAAACAACAACTTCAGAAGCAGGACAAATTCTTCCTTGCAGGGAAAGCTCTACCAAGCAGTTTGCAGTAAAACATAGGACAGTGAAAATATTTCATTGCTCAAGAGTGAGGGCTCAATGCTCATTTGGGAGAGCAGTGCATATTCACAGCTCTCTGGAACCACCCTAGGAAATTCTGGAGGGCTAATCACATCAAGCATCTCATTTAAACAAGCACCTAGGGAAGGAATTCCTGTTCCCCTGCCCTGGGAAGCTCGTGGCAGTGGTGTCCTGCTGAAACCATCACACACCTCTCCACCAAGCAGGAATGGTTATTGGTGATTTGCAATGTGCAGTCATAACCTCACAAAAAACCCCACCTTTCCTGATTTCCTGTATTTTGACCTTAAAAAGCCCACCCCTAAAGGGCTGTGGCTATGATTTGCTTATCCACATTACAAAGGACCAAAGAAGTTTCAGGGCTTTTCCCTCTGCCTTTTCAGAGGCTCCTGAAATGCTTGAGCTGATGCCTTGTGTTGAAACCTCACATCTTGAAAAGCTTTGTTTTGTCTCTATAAGTTAAGAGAGTAATTTTAATTTCTTCCTTCCCAGCATTTATGTTCCCTCTCTACTTGTTATAATGGCATTTCAATGTGTACATCAATAGATTAATTTAATTTTAGTGTCTTTCCCATGGCACAATCAGTAAAACTTTGCAGCCCTGCACTTTGCAAACAGTGCCAATCCTAGAAAAAACTTGCATTTCCTATCTGACAAAATTGTCCAATTCCAGGAAGAGCTAAGAGCTTACCACTTAAAATGGGGACATTTTTATAAAAGACTTCCATAACTAAACTAAATATTATCTGGGCTTGCTGTCTCCTCCCCGTGGCCACTGAAAAAGTCTTCCTGCTTTTGTACTATTTAACTTCCTTTTTCTGAAACAGTTGGGAGAGATCCCTTACCTAAGGCAGCTACTTTCTGTCCCAGGAACTACCAGGGAAAACACTGTCTGAGCAGGCCAAGTAAAACAGGCCAGGAATACTTCAGCAGGAAATAGCTTAGGCAATTGAGATTCCAGTTTTGGGAAAGGTTCCCTGTTACTGCTGGACAGGATTTACATCTTGGCACTGCTTGTAAGCCATAAATCCCCATTTGGTGCACAATCCCTTTCCACTATATTTTTGAGGCCCAGATAAGAGCTTTTGTAAAACAGACATATGAAATGCCTCTCCTTTCATTAACATTGCAATAAACTAATATACAGGGAAAAAATTATTATTACCTTCTTTTAAATGGACTTTTCTCTTGATCTAGAACTCATGAGATCACTGAAATAGCTTCAGATGTGCTGTTTGCAGCCTCACATTATTCTCCATTATACAGCAGAGCACCTTGTTCCAGCTCATTCTTCAGTTACAGCTCTTCAAAAGGACCCAAAATATTGGGTGGAACCATGGGGGACTGAATGGCAACCAGATCCTTCAATACAGTAGCAGAGTGATTTTCTCTGACTAAAGCTATAAAAGACATATATACACACAAATATATAAAAATATATAAATGCATCATGCAAATGCAAATCTTAGCACCAATGAGAACTTTTTTAACCCACTGAGCAGGCATGCACCTGGCTGAGAGGCCCACATTACACGCTCAATATTTGGGATCTCCATTACACCAGCACATAACCTAATCCCAATTTTGTTTATAAAACCCCTAATAAAAAGCCAGGAGGTTGTTCCTCTGAGTCTGCTGTTCCACCTTTTATCCTTTCCTCATTCCTCTCACTGCAAGCCAAATAAAGAGCCATGATTTCATACCTGCCTGCCCCTGGTGGGTTGCCACCTGCCTTGCAGCTGGTGGCTCTCTTCCTTTGCATGGAACAGTTCTCAAACCAGCCCTTCCTTCTGGCACCACGAGGCAAATTTCAGTCCCACTACTACTTTGTGTCCAATTGCCTTCACATAATCACAGCCACAACCCCAAGCCCTCCTGTAATTATTGCAAAAAAACAAAAAACCTGCAGCAGTTTGAGAACCTGCCTTTTTCATCCAAGATTTAATGGTCTGTTTGCTCCTTCCGGAGACTGCATATTGTGACATTTTGCTCAGTCTAACAGATGCTACAAACAACTCTTCTTAAAGCTGTGACCCTTATTCTTGTTTACTGCTTTTGCATAATGTGAAAGGACATATTAACAGTCCCTCAAGTAACTGGGAATTACTGCAATGCATTTGTTCTTTACCTAAGTGCTTTTCCACATGCATAAATTTCCAGTGAACCTCAGCCCAATTGTAATGAAAACTCAGACTTATACCCTTGTATTCCACCTGACTGTTGTATGATTTCACTCTTATTTTTACTACAGTCCTCTATCAGCAAATGTATTTTATTTAAGAACCTGAGAGGAAAGCAAGTGTCTTTTCAGCATGAAAGAATAAGGGCATTTCAGAGAAGATTTTACTGAAGAAACTGTTGTTACCATGATTAAACTTTCATTTAAGAATTAATGGATATGCCAGCAGGACAAGTTCAGATATCATGACATACACTGAGATATTCAATTTCAGTGCATTAAGAGAATCTATATAATTCACATTTGTTGCTTAGTATGTTCCTGTATGGAGGTCATTTTACACATGATTTCTAAAGTTTGCTGCTAAGATTTTCTTCCTCGAAACAAAACACATTAGCACCTTTTGGATTTCACCAAAGAAATAATTTAAATTAAGTGGGCAATTTAATTGTTTTAAAATTAAGATGGCAAATCTTGTTCCTTGCACAAAAGCACTAAATAATGATATGCCACTTGGACTCGTTAAAAGCACTTTGTAACAATTATCACCTTCAGCCTTGCTCACCATATTTTGCACTTGTTGCAGCTGAAGTGCTTGAAGAGGCATCTCCAGTTCTGCTGTGATAAAGGCTGGAGATAAAGCTGGAAATAAAGCATGCTGATAAAGGAGGAGAGGTGCTGACACAGCCTGCTTAGCTGATCCTCCTCTCTGCCCTGCACCTGCAGCACCCACTTTATCCAACAAGAAACACCAGACTGGGCAGAAGCAGTCAAATGAAGAAGAGTTCAGTCCACTGAACTCTTGAGAGAGCAGAGCACACAGCAAAATCCAGCACCAGGATGCTCTCCATACCTATAAATGTACCCCTTTACCCTCTTTATCTCTCAGTCTCTTTCCTCTGACAGTGCTGTTGCTAAAAAACACTGTTTTGGTCTGCAATCTGCAGGAAAAGCTGCATTGTGCCCAGAGGAACAGATCCCTGAGCCACAAAAGCCCTCTGGAGTCTCCCTCTGCCTCCTGCAGCACTCAGGGATTCTCCAGAGTCAGCCAGGCTGAGGAGATCTCAGCAAATCTTTTGTGTTGTACCAACTGCAGGAGCTTCAAGGGGATTTTCATGCTAATGATTCTCTTTAATCTTCATATAATTCAGGCCAGCTAAAAATAGACTTTTCCAAACAATGAATCATCATGATTCCAAGCGGATGCAGTTCTGCCACAATAAAGTTGAAATCTCTGTTCCAGAGCACCTTTCTTCACTCCCTGCATGTAACAGCCACCCAACAAGCCACTGACAAAAACCAATACAGGTAATTTTTCATCTCCCCTCTCACTTCAGATGTCAGAGACAAATAAAGAAACATCCTCAAGTACCATACTAATTTGCAGACTAATTCCAGAAACTAAACAGTACTTAAAATTTTCTTTTAAATTAAGAAAATTAATCATGAGATTGTCAAATCTCACAACAGTAGCCATGGTAATTTCTTTTTTGAAAGGAAAGAAAGGAGCACCTAGCCCCAAAGCAGGCTGTAGAGCCACTTTTGCTGCTTTTTAACCCTCCTGGAATGTGTAAGAACTCTGAGACACGCACAGCAGCTGATTACGTGTGATTAATTAGCATCCATCTCACGTTAATTAGATCTGTCTCACAAGGTTTTGCACTGTGTAAATACACAGGTATTCCACATGCAAAGATATGTCCTAGTGTCTCACTATCAGGGACAAACAGCTTTGCAAATCTATCTCCAAAGGTCAAGCAGGCCTGTGCAGGAAAGGGTTAATTTTGTATCTGTTGTCCACAGCCCATTTTACTCAAAATACTATCTCCAAAGAAAGCAGAAAGAGTCATGTTGAAATCCTGAACACAAATTTAACAGAAATTAAAAAAAAAATAAAAGACAATCTAATTGGTTGCCTTACACAATTCTTGTAGATGCTTTGAATTTTGCCAACACCCTTAAGGAATTCCCTTAAGACAAGTGCATAAGATAAAGGATTGAGTGCAATTTTCTTAGAAAGAAGGTGGAATAAATGAGCAACTGCAGAGAAAAGGCCAACTATTAATATCAGAGGTTTAAGGCTAAGGGAGATCCAGGCATTGGCTGATGAAAAGTAAGCATGAGATAAGCTTAAAGATGGTTTCCTGGACTTTTAAAAGCTTCCATGCATGAACTTCTCTGACATTTGCTTTTGGATCTTATTATATTTTATTTTGTTCATTTTCAATGGAAGTGAGCAGTGTGATCCCTGGGTTAACTCATGTACCTTGCTAGCAGGAAGACATATCTCTCAGCTTAGCCAAATTTCAACCTTCATGCTTCTTTAAAGGGTCAGTGAGAAAGGATGCCAGTGTCAGGTTTGGGTAGCAGGGTGGAAACAAACCCTCAGCAGTGTCCTGCAGCCTCTCACACACAGGACTGTGACCCACAGTCTGAGCTGAAAGGGACCCACAGGGACTCCCACAGTGAGTGTCCCCCATGGAGATGGAGCCCACAGCCTGGTGTTATCAGCACCATGCTCTGAGCAGCTGAACTCATCTCAGGCTCACTGCACAAGGAGGAATTACAGACATTTCTAAGCCCACTCTGTTTTAAAATCACTTTTGAAAAGATTGCATTATATACACCAATGAAAGCAATGGGCACAGATAAAAAATCACCAACCAGGAGACAGATGTCACAGCTGTGACACCTCAAACTAAATCAATTTCTACACATTCCTTTGAGTTTTCTTTCTCTGCATTACACATATTATTCCCATATAATTCCCAGGTAAAGAAACAGATCCTAAAGGACTCCAGGAACAATGAAGCCCCCAAATAGAGGGCTTGCTACATATTCCATAATAAAAAATTAAGCTTCCTAATGAAAGTAGAGGAGGAGAGATTGACATTTACAGGTGTTAGGAAGAAATTCCTCACTGTGTGGGTGGTGGGGCTGTGGCCCAGGTTGCCCAGAGAAGCTGGGGTTGCCCCATCTCTGGAAAAGCAAGCTGCTGTGGTGGGTGGCATCCCTGCCCCAGACAGGGGATTGGAGCTGGCTGATCTTAAGGTTGCTTCTAACACAAACCTTTCTATGTTTCTGTGGTTTCTGGTCAAAAGCAGCCCATTCTCTGCTCAGCCATTTTTCCCAGTCCAGAGCAGAGTGGTCAGGGAGAGGTGTTAGGATCCAGTTGTTCAAATTGTCTCTGCCCAAATGAGGGGGCAAAAAAACCTGATATGCTGAAGGCAATACTAAAGATTTATATCTAACAGTAAATGGGGAGTGGGGAGGGAGTGATAGAAAAAAAAAAGAGGAGGGAAGAGAAAGAAGGTGACAGAGGGATAATCAGTGGGTCCTGACAGCATCCCACTGGAGCTTCCAGCCCTCTCAGTGTGAGGGTGGAAGGGATGGTCAGTGATCCACCTGGGACTGGAGAAGGCTGAAAACACAAAGTTCCCTGGGTTTACACTCACATGGGAATGCCCAGCCACCGCCCCTGGAGAGGCAAGTTCTTCTCTGGATGATTTAATCCTTTGGATCAGGGCACACCTGGGGAGCTTTGATGGGCTATGATACCATGTAAAACATTGCAGCTGCCCCTTACAGCATCTCATAGGGGAGCTAAAATAATCCAGCCTGCACACAAAATATTCTAAACCCCTTACCTGCCTTTCCCCTTTGCAGCTATTTTGGCTTTCAGCTTTAGTTTCTTCCTCTTTCCACTTCTTCTAGTTTTTCCTTTCTGCTTATAGTTTCTTTCCTTTCTTCTTACTACCAAACACTGTTCTCTCTCCAAGCCAACAGGTACCAAACCGTCATATTCACAGAAGAATTAACATTAAAGTTTGACTCCAAAATTTTGACTTACCCCAGAAATTACTGCAGAGAACATCCTAACCCTTACCTGCCTTTCCCCTTTGCAGCTATTTTGGCTTTCAGCTTTAGTTTCTTCCCTTTCCATTTCTTCTAGATTTTCCTTTCCGATTATGGTTTCTTTCCTTTCTTCTATCTACCAAACACTGTTCGCTTTCCAAGCCAACAGTTACCAGTTCATGGAATTCACACCAACTCATGTCACATTCATAGAAGAATTAACATTCAAGTTTGACTCCAAATTTTTGAGTTCCCCCAGACATTACTGCAGAGAACACCCAAGGAAGCGCAGTCACATAGCATACCCCAAAGGCCTGAAGTAATCTGGCCTGAAGAATTCCCACTGAAGAATTCTTATTGGGCCTTACTGAGCCTTGGCACAGCCCCTCTAGAAAGGTTGCTCTTACATGAATAGCACACATAGGGACACACATCTCAAAGTCAAGCTCCAGCTGCAGGCAAAGAAGGGTAACAGTGAGTTCCTTCTGCCTTTCTGAAGGAGCAAAGACACCAGAGCTTCAATTTGCTCACCAGCAACTGAAACAAGTATTCTGTGAAATGTGGAAGAATTTAAGGGCCACCTAGTGCTTAGATGCACCTCCCTACTTTCAATTTTGTTTGTAATTTGTGAGGACCAAGAAATCCTCAGAAGGGTAGGTATTTTGACGGTTTCCTGTTGTGTAAGATGCAGGAATAACCATTTACAGAGTATGACCATAGGAATGACTCTTTAGACTCCCTTGGCTCAGACTAAGGATGATAATTTTAAAATTTTCAGATCTTATTGCCACAATGAGTCAGAAAAAGCCTATGTGGGGTGGGTTAAGTTACTTTGTGTGTGTTGCACCTCAAGCACATCAACACAGGGACCTAGCTTAGAAAATTCTGGTGAGCTACCATGCACCTTTACCTCAGATTCCTTAATTTCTACATATTCCTTTGAGTTTTCTTTTTCAGCATTACACATATTATTCCCCTGCATTACTTAAACCTGCTTACAAATTTAAACTCACGCCAGGAAAGTCCTTCCTTACAGGTTTTTTTTCCTTTCCAGCTTTATGTACTTACCATATTCACACCACGATGTCCACGGATCATGACTGCAGAGATGAGCGGTTTGAATTTACTGATTATTTTCTATAAAAATGAACATTATCCTCATCATACCCCTGTGGTAAATGATGTTCCATGGTTTTTTTCAGCAGCATACATATCCCAGAAAAACACTAGAACACAAAAGGTGCCCATTTCTTTCTCACCTTACATTCCACTTTTCTTTCGTGGCATTTCCACAGTGCTGTGAGATAACAAGATGCATTTTCCAGATTAAAAACTGTTTCTCAGTTGTGTCCCCCAATGGATGTTTCCCTGTGCAATGTGTCACAATCAATCTTAAAAGTAGCCCGAGAGAGAGAGAGAGAAATTCTACAGTACCTTTGTCTAGAATAAATTATTTGTAATGGTGACATCTGTGTATAGACCATCTTAGGAAATATTAAAAATCAATCCACTTTGGTGAATTACTAATAAATATAAATAAATTACTTCATTCTAAATGAACAGAAATGCAAAAGAAAAAGGATTAGCCTGCCCTGTAGTACTTTGATTCCTCCCTTGTGCTCCATTGATGCCTAAACTGGATCAATTTAAGGATAAACCTCCTCCAACTGAAGGAAGAGCAGGTTCCTTTCCCTCCCTCTCCAGAGGGACAGCACAGCAATTGTGATGAACTGAACACAACTCTTCCCACAGAAATTTCTGCTGGACTTTGTCATTGATTCCTGGATTTGTAGAAAACCATGGTGCCAAAATAAATCATATTAAGTCTGCTATTAAGGCACTTTCACTAGGAATGCTGTGAATCTCTCAGTCCATGGGGTCTAAAGAATAAACTCTAACAAATATTTCCTAGAGCTGATCAGCAAAGAGGGATGTAATAGCTCTGGGACAACACAAGTGGTCTAGTGCACCAACATATTAAAGATGTCTGAAATATCCCTGGTTTGCATCCATATAGACAATATCTATGTGAAGTTATCAAGTTTTTACTTTCTCCTGCAAAAGTATATTCCTAATTTTATTTTTACATAGGAATGACATTTTTAAGCAATTTAAAATTTTAGGCTTCAGAAATCTCTATTACAAAACCAGCTCACATAATGTGAATGGAGTTTTTAAGCCCCTGATGAAAATTTCATAACTTGATTCCCTTTTGGAGGTGTTCCTACTACGTGCACAAATGAATACTGACAGTTTGATTAAAAATCAGAATAACCTTTTTCAAAGCATTCTGGTCTTAGCAAAGGTGAACATATTCCTTGAGATGGTCAAAAAGCCACCTTCTTCCTTCTTGTCCATCCAAAATAAATGCAGCTTGCCCATTCTGAGTTTATTTTAATAATGCACTAACAAGAGCACTGGTGTGGGGAGCAGAAGCACAGTTTTGAGTGGTATTTCACACCAAGATACTACTGGTGGCTTTTTCAGATGGCCCTGTTGAGAGTTCCATACACCAGGGCATCTTTATCTGGTTGGCCTGCTAGAACAATGCTATTTTTGGGGGGGTGAAGGTGGGGGGAGGAAGAAATCTATTTTTCAAGTAACAGATGGATAAACAGATGGGTGGAAAAGTCCACTGAATAGTGTGTTGGCTGCCTGTCACTGCCTGTAGGACAGCCAATAAATATCATATGGATTAAACCTGTAAACTAACATGTCCCTATTTAATGAGTTCTTGCAGAACAGTGGGTGTCTTCTTGCCAATACCCATAGAAATGAAATGCCACCTTGGATAAGGGGAATTTTTGCAAGGAGACCAAACACCTAGGGACAGTTTGTTCTAAGATGAATAACCAAGAGCAAACAGGGAAGGAAGCCCCATGGTGAAGTGTGTGCATTTTTACAGACTGGCTGTGAGGTGCTCCTTTTGCACATCTGGAACAGATTCCAGCAAATCACTTTCAGGACACAGTTTACACTTACCATAATGTTTTCATCCTCCTTACACCTGTTTGTGTGAGGATTTTACCCTTTTTGTCTCAGGCTTGCATGAAGTGTTTAATTCAGTAGCCAGCCATGAAGGCAGCACCCCAGGCCAACAGCAGAGCACAAATTTCATCCTCTTCTGAGAGATTCTCTCTACTTTGTGCTAAGACAAAATTAATGGGAGAAAAGTGCTGAGGTGCCAGGAAATTCCAGGTTTTCTGGCACTCAGTCTCCTCAGTGCCCCTTGCACTGCAATGATGACAATTTGCTGTGAGGGATGGGTGGCTCCTACTCACCTTAGAACGTTCATCAGCACGTGGATCATTACGTGTAAGAGCAGCACCTTTGCTTTTCTTCCTGCCTAATATTCACTCAGTCATTTCTAGGTCCTCTGAGACACAGCTGATAATTCTTTCCTCATTCAACAAACCATCCCTGATTTTACAAAGACTCTCCCAGGCTCAGCTCCGTGGGCTGCAAAATGAGAGAGAGAGAGGAAAAGGCTGCACTGAAAATCTGCCTTGAGAAGGAGTTCAGCTCCCCTGAGCAATGCCTCTCCACATGGCAATCTGGTTCCTGACGTTTTTCAGAAAATACAAAAGAAAACACTCAGGAACAATAACCACATGTGAATTTAAGGATTAACATCACTTTCAGTAATTTTTCATGATTTGCTGATTTTCAAAAGCTTCCTTGAACACAGTATTCTTGAAGAGAAAGTGCAGGACTTGTTGGTGCCATAAAATATAAAATATTTAGCTGTGCCTAGATGGAAAAATATAGGAAAAGAAAATGCAAAATATTTTTGTTCTGAAAATATAATCTATTAATTCACTATCAAGAGGTGGGGTAAATTTCATTAAAAATTTCTAAAAATGTATGGACAGTTGCAAAATGCTGAGAACAGTATTTTGCAGCACTATCAGACATAAAACTCTGGATGCACCCAACAGAATGTTTCATGACAACAGGAAACTGATTATTATTGGAAAAGGGAATAAGAAATGAGTCCAAAAATCCTGAATTGGTGATAAAAAAGATTTGACCTAAGGTAGATATGGTGTATATTATCTTTGAAACTCAGAAGTACATTTTGGCATATGAAAGTATCAGCATGAACGCTTCTTTGCCTTTACACATCACCTTTTCCTTGAGGAGCTCCAAATCCTGTAAAGAGGTTAACAGCTTCATGGCATTAATTAGTTTAATATTACTCTGTTTATATGAAATCTAATAAGTGTGACATAAGAGGAAAGAAACCATCAGCACTTTAAGACAATAATTTAAGAACTTTTTAAAAAAGCATAAAAGGACCTGATCAGTTTAGTGCCCCAAAGAGCTTGGAAAGGAGAACTCTGAAGAGCTCAGAGGAAGATTTGGGCTCCAGTGTTTGCCCTGCACCATCCGTTGGAGAGCCCGGACAAAGCCAGGGGCTCAGGGGTGCAGCAGAAGACCAAAGACAAAACTGCTCCAAGGTCAGCAGGTTCCTGTTGCCTACAGAACCACAGGGACACTTCCACAGGGTGCCCCTGGATCCTTGGAAGGGCTCCAGGCCAGGCTGGATGGGGCTATGAGCAACCTGGTGCTGTGGAAGGTGTCGCTGCCCATGGCAGGGGCTTGGAACGAGGTGACCATGGAGGTCTGTGCCAAGCCAGGCCATTCCATGGTTTTGTGCAAGGAAACACAAAGCACTGAAGTGATGCCATGGGGAGTGATTTGACCAGTCCCTGCTGAAGAAACTTCTCCTGACTCAGGTTCCTGATAAACCGTGCTGAGAAAACCCCACACCCCCCCCCCCACCAGCTCTAAGGCACTCCAGGAAATCTGTTGGGACATTGGGGACTCAGAATTTGTTTGCATTTTTAAAAATAGTCTTATGGGTGCTTTTGATTGCTTTGTCATTTTGCATTGATTCAGTTGATCCTTCAGAGAAGCTTTCTTAGTGATATAAAAAACAGGGAATTGTGGAGACCCTGGGGGCACATTCCCTGGTTGAGGGAGACACAAGAAATTCCCTCCAAAAGCTGTTAGACCCCATTGGCTCCCTCCCCTGTTCCTATGTCCCTGAGCCACTCTTTCCCTATTCCCTGACTGCTCCTCATCTCTGCACTGCCCTGAGAGCAGGGTCAGTCCCCAGGCCCCTGGGGAGAGAAAGCTGCACCCTCCTGTGGTGGTGTTCACAGGACTCCCAGGACGAGTGAAGAGATGAGAATCTTGACCCCATGTTTCAGAAGGCTGATTTAATAAAATATATATCATAAAACAATAAAAGAGAAAGCTATATCAAAACTATACTAAAGAAAGAGAAAGGAGATATCAGAAGGCTAGCAAAAAAAGGAATGGAATTATAATAATCTTGTGACTGACCAGAATCCCAACACAGCTGGACGTGTGAATGGTCATCAAGCAGAAACAATTCACATGAGACCAACCAAAGATGCACCTGCCACATTCCACAGCAGCAGATAATCATTGTTTACATCTCCTTTCTGAGGCCTCTCAGCAGAAAAAAACCTGGGAAAAGGATTTTTCAGAAAATATGTCTGTGATACCCTCCATGTGTGTGTGCCTTGGACCTGATCATCTCACCACATGGCTGAATTCAACATCTGTGGATACCATGCCAAGGTCCTTTTTGCTTCCTTACCCTGGACCATGCCAGCAGCAACTCAGCCTGCTGCAGTGATGCTACGAGCAAACACATGCAAGAGAATTCTGAGCAAACACATGCATGAGCAAACACATACAAGAGATTTCTGATCAGGATTTCCTGACTTTTCCTCCTTTGCCCCAGGAGCTTGCCCTAAGCAGAGGCAGGGGGCAGCAGAGGATTTGCAGCCCACTGGTGCAAGGTGACCCTCACAGTGGTGCTGAGCCCTCAGTTAGAGCTGATGCCTGCTCTAACAGCCTGTGAAAATCCCTTTTTAGCTCCAGAGCCCTGACAGGGCTCCAGTGCACCCCCAAACAGGTAACTCCAGCTCTTAAAAAACAGCTTTCATTTTTCTTGCCTCTTTGGGCATGCGAGGCATGTGCTTGGATCCAGTCTTGCCTAGGGCTGGAGAGTTCCTCAGTAGCTGGGTACATTTCCTTAGGCACTCCAGCAGCCTTTGAGTGGCTGCACACCTGAAGGGGTGAATTAAAAGTAAAATATTCTCTTTTAGTGGAATGTAGCATGTAACCATGCATCTTGCTGTACATTTAGTCATCCCTCTATGTGTGAATAAGCCCTCCTGTGAAAGAGCTGCTCTACTCTGGGCATATTATTATGATTGACAGGACCTGTCAGAAACCATAGTGAGGTTTTTGGCCTCTTTTCCTTAACTTACATGTAGCAGAAAATGATTTTTTTTTTAAGTAGCAGAAAAGTTAATAAAGCCACTAGAAAGATAGCTGACATAAAAAAGCACAGGCACTATATTTTACCTCTCAGTACTGGAGAGTCTCAAATTTTTCCAAGCAAATCTTTGTCCAACTCATTCTTTTTTAAACAAAGAAGCTTTACACACCTGAAATAACTAAATAATTCCATAGAAGCTTAGATTAAAACTAAATGAGGTTTAGATGTGTTGCTGAACTGATTTTTTTCTCCTCATCTGGTTAGTATCTGGAGTCTTAGAAATGTCCATGTCTCAGTTGCTTAAGGCAATTCCAAGTCCCCAGAGTTTGACAGCATCCAAGATTTCAAGCCACAATCATAGAGTAGGAATTTATTCTACTGAATAAGAGCAACATGAAGCAATCAAGTGTTCTCAGCCTGCTGGGTGCATACAGATTTAAAGCTACTTCTGCCTTGGAATTTTTGTGTCCCAGCAAGGATGGGTTATTCCATAGAACATCAGCCAAAGCAGGGCATGAAGTAATTGTTCACACCAAAGCACACACAGTGAAGATTATTGCTAGCCTTTCCATAGTCTTCTCCTTCTTTTTGATTGATTTTTTTCTCAAGATCTATAGCTTTGTTTTCTCAGCTATCAGGATTTTCTCAGGTTTTTTGTCACTTGGCTACTTCAGGCTTACCTTTTCAGTGCATCGGGCGCCCCCAGTTTCTCCACCTCTGCAGCTTTCAGCCCAATGCCTGCTCCCAGCAGATGAGACCAAGATAACTCAGCTAACAGGTGATGAGATTGTTGTACAGGTTGATGCCATCTGCAGCTGAGCTCACCTGTGAAATTATTTCCCCAGAGATGTAAGGAGTCCCTCTGAAACTCAGCCACAGAACACACAGGCATAGCACAATTCACAGAATATTCTGAGTTGGAAGGGACTCAAAGGGAGTCCAGCTCCTGGCCCTAGGCAGGACACCCCAAGAGTCACATCTTGTGCCCAAACACTTGGCATTGTTCAAACCCTTCCTGAGCAATGCCCTGGGGAGCTGTGCCAGTGCCCAAACACCCTCTGGGGGAAGAATCTATTCCTGATATCCAACCTGAACCTGCCCTGATTCCAGGCCATTCCCTGAGTGCTGTCCCTGTCCCACAGGGATCAGTGCCTGCCCCTGCACTGACTGAGCTCCAGCCATTCCCTGAGTGCTGTCCCTGTCCCACAGGGATCAGTGCCTGCCCCAGCTCCAGCCATCCCTGGGTGCTGTCCCTGTCCCACAGAGCAGAGATCAGTGCCTGTCCCTGCCCCAGCCATCCCTGGGTGCTGTCCCTGTCCCACAGGGATCAGTGCCTGCCCCTGCCCCTGGTGAGGATGCTGAAGGCCACCATGAGCTCTGGCCTCAGTCTCCTCCAGGCTGAGCAGACCCAGCGCCCTCAGCAGCTCCTCACACTCCGCCCCCTCAGGGCCCTTCCCCTTCCTCGAGGCCTCCTTGGGATGTTCTCTAATGGCCTCATCTCTTTTTTGTGTTATGGCACCCAAAACTGCCCCAGCACTCGAGGTGAGGCCTCCCCAGCTCAGAGCAGAGCAGGACAATCCCTGCCTTGCCCAGCTGGCCATGCTGTCCCTGATGTCCCCAGGTCAGGGCTGGCCCTCCTGGCTGCCAGGGCCCAGTCCCAGCTTGGCATGGAGTAGGAGCCCCAGGTCCCTTTCCATGAGGCTGCTCCCCAGTTTACACATCCAGCCAGGGCTGTCCCCACCATGTTGTCTTAGATATCAAGGGTTCTATTATCATTATAGTACAAGGGTTCTCAAAAAAATCCTCAGAGTTTTGCACCTCTAGATGTTTCTTGCAGGCACCTCCTCTAAGCACTGACCTCTCCTGGTCCTTGCAGCAGCCAGAGCCCACCAATCCACTCTTTCATACCACTGTTCTTATTGGCTACAGGTGTGGCCTGTTAAGATCAGGCCTGCTCGTAATCTTTAGTAATTGGTCCAGCTTCAACTTGTTGGGGGATAGATTACATTCTATACCACCTTCATTTATCCATGCTGTATCCCCCTACACCACCAGGTGCAGAAAGTGGCACTGCCCTTGCTGAACTCCACATGGTTTGTGATCGCCCATCTCTTCAACACCTTGAGGTCTCTCTGCAGGGCGTCCCTGCTTTGGGAGAGTCAACAGCTCTTTCCCATTGTGTGTCATCTGCAGGTTTACCTGGTTTCTCTCTGAGTCCTGTGTGCAGCTCTCCCCAGCACTGCCAGCAGAGGGTCAGGGCCAGGGTTCCACACACACCATCACTGCCCATGTGGATCCTCTTCATGCACATCTCTCAGCACCAGGCTAGAGCTGACCAGCTCTGCAAGTGGTCTGGAGGACATCCAGCAGGATTGATGTGTCTGAGGTCACCCTGCTTTGTCAGAACCCAGGACATTGCTCTGGCTGCCCTGGAGGACTCGAGACCCTGGCAAGGGGCTCAAAAACCTTAGCATGGAGTCACAAACACCTGTGCCTTTGATTTTAACCCATGGAAACAATTACCAGCTTTGTGTGAGGATTTACAAGCCACAAGGGTTTGAATAGAATGATAGTGAATTTGTCACAAAGTAATAAAGTAGAATTTTAGAGTTTTAGAAAGAAAGTTCAAAAAGCAAAATAAAAGAATCTAAGTGTCTCCTGCCTTGTTCTTGTCCTCCATCTTCTGCTGTAATGGTGGCACCTTTAGATTAGTTTAAGACAGAGACAAACTATTGGGAAATTATTGTAAATAAAGTACAGTTTTAGTATAAAAAGTTTATAAGTAAGTTTTAGTATAACAAGATAACACTGCCCCAAGGGTGGTCAGTGTGCCTCAACCCGACCTGCCAGACAGACCTCCATAAGTCTGAAAAAGAATGTATTAAAGAAGAGAAAACAAACAAACTTGAAAACCAAAGTTGAAGAGTCCCAGCTTCTTCAGATGCAAAGCTAAGAAAAAAACCTCTTTAATACCGCGAGACCCAAGTCCTGCTGTCACACACAACTCCCACCTGAACTGGCCAGGAGTGTCCAGGAAGGATCTGGGCCAGGTTCTGTGCAGACACATCCAGGGAGGCTCCAAAGCACCAGCTAGATCAGGCACAGCCTTAGCACAGATGTGCTCCTGCTGTCCAAACACAGTCTTTTCATGTGTTTGACCCTGAAACATCAAAGCTACATTGCTGCACAGACCACCTTCACCAGAATCCAGGTTGCAAAACCTGGAATGTTTGGTTTTTAAGGTCTACTTTAAACACAATATATGCTAGTGCTATCAGTGCCTAGCAAAGGTGTGCAAGAGACTCTTATAATTTGAATGATCATAAAAAATACTTTCAAAAGTGTGTGTTATCATTTAGGAAAATTTTAAAAAGCCAACAAAACAAAAAGACACAGAAGAATGAGGTTGTAGTAATAATATACTAGATTATATAATTTAGTAATAGTATACTAAAGTTGCAATAATAATGTTGGGTTTAGACCCTGAACCTTTGAATATCTTACTACTGGGTAAAATTTAAAAACCTGATCAAAGTACTCTTGGAAAACACTGCTAAAAAGTTTGGCATTTAAAGTGACAGTAACCCCAAACATTGCTGATTTTAATCCTACATATTTTTTCCTCTTAAAGCCATTGCAAATTTGTAGGACAAGATGGGAAGAACCTGCAGGAAAATACTTTGTAACATATGAGCAATGCAGGCTATGTAGGCTGATACAAATTTCATGTCTCTTATTTTAAAAGTCTTAGTGATTCACATTAGATTACTTTCTAAATTTATTTGTTGATAGAAGAAAAGCTAAAAAATATCCAGAAAACAGCCTGCCACTCAAACACCTAAAAATGAAGATAAGAGCAAGTGAGGATTATCAGGGTATTTAATTCTTAGTTTTTACCAAACTTTTGCCAATAAAATTTTAAAAATTCCAGCTCTTCCTTTATTTCACTTCAGGTTATTTAATGCTGAAAAATCATGACTGGAAGGTTTCATGTATAGTGTTTCTTAATTTAATCAAATCAGCTAATGAGGAAAACATCCCATCTAAGTCTGAAATGAATTTTTGGGTTACGAGAGGTTCGACAGAAATTTTGAACTTCTGTGGTTCCTGTAAAGCTGAACCCCTGAACGAAATTTCCAGATTACATTTTCAATGTACCAATAACAACTGTGTTTAAAGGAAAGTGCCAATTTAAGAATTGCGCCTGAGATTACAAGCACGGTGCAGCGTGGTCTCCTCAAGCATCGCCCCGAACACATCCTTCCCTGTTTCACATCTTTTCTGAGTCCGAGCTGTGATTCAGAAAGAGAAGAATAGTTCAGGGGCAAAGGCAAGGCCTGAGTCATGCAGGCTCTATGGAAAGAGTTGGTGTATCATTAAGCAATAGAGGAGGAAAGAATAATTGATACAGCCATGGGAGGACAGAGCCCACATCTGTGCTCTGTGACTCAGCAGCGGCAGCGCTGCACACAAACAGCTCCAAAACAGGTGGGGTCTTTCCAGAGGAGATTTGGCAATTTCCTACGGCCCAGAACATCTCTGCAGCATCACTCACATGTCAGGGGAAGTGATGCACTACAGGAGAGAGTTTGAGAAAACATAGGGCCTCCTTGTGACTTCTGTGTGCCATGCAGACTACAAACTTAGCACTACATAAATGAAAATAACCTCATAAAGGGGAAAGAAAATTTGAAGCATCACAGACAAAGAAGCTGGAGTTTAGCAATGCCATTTGCCACCTCAGTTCTGCCATTTTAGTTGCAATAGTTCCATTATTTTCTCCACACCCCTGTTCATACATGGCTTTTTCAAACCATGGGCACATCACACTGGAGCAGAAACACAGACATTGACTCATCTTGATTTCAACTAAACATCAGCTGAACATGGACAGGAAACACAACAAACTCCTTGGCTTTCTGGGAAGAAAATGGGTGTGCTGGTTCCCACTATTTTCAAAAGAAAACCCCAACAGAACACGGCTGGGAAGAAGAAGGTGACTCTACCAACATTTTCCATTTCCAACTACTGAGGAATCAAACATAAATACCAGAGGTCAATGCAATCTAGTGACCTAAAATGAGAAATTGTCTTCTTTTATTTAATCCCCCTGTAGTACAGAATAAATCTTTACATGATAGTTGCCATTTCTTCATCAAGTCTGACTGGAGAAGCCACCTATGCATTACCTTTGGAAAAACCTGAGCAGTGACATAACATTCACCCTTACATCTATTTATGCTATTTTTTTTTGCCTTCAAACCACCCCAGATTTGCTTCCATCTCTCTCTTTTTCCACATTCCAGTTATTTCTATCCCAACATCACAAATCTCTGCAATGGTCATTTGTGAGCCAGTCTCTCAGCTGTCACATGGGTACAGCTGCAGGACAATATTGCAATAAATGGATTTACAAGTGCAGTCCATTACTGCTGTTAGTGGCTTGTAAGCCCTTACATTTAAGGGCTTACAAGCCACTAACATAGGAACTTTCCTTCATTAGCCTGGCTTCTTCCTCTTGAACTAAGGCCTTGTCTTCTCAAATACCCTAAGAATGGCCATGGTAAATAATGACTGTCACATTCATATTTTCTGAAAAATCCCTTCACCCACGATTTTTCTCCTGGGAAGCTGAGAAGCTTCAGAGGAAAAGGAAAACAATAATTATCTGATTTGCTTCTCCTGTGTTTTGCTGCTTTGGAATGTGGTTGGAGATTGTTTCATTGGTTTCATGTGAATTGTTTTGACTCTTTGGCCAATCAGTGCCAAGCTGTGTCAGGGCTCTGGAAAGAGTCAGGAGTTTTCATTATTATCTCTTTAGCATACTCTAAGTATCCTTTCTATATTCTTTAGCATAGTTTAGTTTAGTATGGTTTAATATAATATAGTATCATAAAATAATAAATTAGCCTTCCAAGAACGTAGCCAGATTCATCATTCCTTCCTGCCATGGGGCACCACACAAATACAACAAATGACAAAATATTTCTTTATGGTGTGTGTATATGTATGCACATGTGTCTGTATGCATACCACACCTGCATACACATACCATTAGTTTGGGTAAAACAGCACAGATATATGAACTTTGTGTCAGGTAAACAAAAAGTGCAGAATTCATCCAGAAAAAATGAAACAGAGATGGAGGAATGGCCAAAACCTCCTCCATTTATTTTTCCTGTATCTTCATTTTGGGGTACAGAAAAAAACAGCAGAATTTTCTTTGGTTCTACTTAAAATCTGAAAAAAACCCCATGCTTGTTTTCAGATACATAGGCAACTCTATTTCAGCATTCTGACTGAAAGTATTTTGCATTTTCCAATGGTCATCATTTGGAAGAAGTGTAATATTCTCATTAGCAACAAGCTAAGAGTTTCCAACAAGCTCTGCCTTAATTCAGTGACATGAAGGCAAGAGAGAAATAGGATTTATGCAGGGAAAAAGGAGAATTTGAGAAAAAATGCCCTGCCTCTTGGCAGGCAGCAACTAAATGGTACAACCACGTGAAAACTGCTTTGTGTAAGACAAAGTGTTTATCCCCCCAGTTTGCATCTAAAGACTTTAGCACCAATAAAGACTTTAAGAGTGGCAATTAGCATAATTTCAAATGAGTTACTTGAGCTTACATTTCACTGCCTAAGTGATGCTTTACTCAACAGAAGGTGTTTCATACACACACAAACCAGAGTTTTATTAGAAATGTGGTGGATGTTTTATATTACAGACAAAGTAACATGCTAATAAAGCTGGAGTTAGAGCTATAATACCATTTTGAGACTGTGCTGGTGGTGCCACAAGAGTTTTGCAGCAGAAACTATATTGTAACTATATTAATAACAGCTCTGCTGTCAGTTAGCTCTCTATGTGCTTGCCACT